GCGCTGCCCATCATAAGGCTATGGACAACAAGTCATGTATTTTTGTTCATGTCGTAAGGTAATCTGCACCATATCTTCCATGCGATTGCACCACCAATGCAGCTTCTTCCCCTTTATTCCACAACAGCGGGCCTCGCTTGCGTGGCTTGTCAATGCTGTCTGTTGTGGAACCTCGCCCACCCGGGTGTGTCTTGCCCGTTACCTGAGCGGTGACGCAGAGCCGGGTGTAGCCGGGCGGCGTGACGCACCGGCCCGGTGCGATGCTCGCCGGCTGCTGACCGCCGCCTGAGGACATGACGCGCGGTGCCGCCGGACGCCGCCGACGCGTTGCCTAATCTTATTGGAGAGGCGCGCTTCCGTGAGACTGTCTCGTAACGGCGCGGAACTGGCACTTGTCAGCGCCGGTTTCGTCACTGGCCGTCGTGGCGCGCCGCCTTAAGGCACCCGGGCGACAGGTGTGAGGCACGCTTTGTCTCCCGGGAACGGCCCGGGAACAAGAAGCGCGTACAGGTGATCACCAGACGGTACTTGGATATCTTCATCATAACTCACGCCTGTGATATCTCGCTATGGAGTAAGTGGGTCGCGTACATTTTGAAGTCAAACCGCTTCCGTGACACTGGAAGGGCTAGCCTTACCACCAGCCTTTTACGCTTTGATAGAAGCGACTCGTGCTTCCACTATCCCAAGCGCTAACATATCGGTTAGGAACACGCAAGGCATGATATGCCATATACTAACGCATGGGCGAAGCCGAAGGAAAGTCGCTCCAGCCCCTCTGAAGAGCTGGGGCCCGAACACTTCCCCAGGCGTCCAAAGAGCATCCGAATTTGTATTTTGTGGATGCTCTTCAAAACTTAAAATTCAACTACGATGAAGGACCGTTTTTGAGGATTGTTTCTAAGAAGTTAAAAGAAGTAAAAAAAAAATTATCTAAGCCCCTTGAAGAAATTCTAACGACGCGATTGCACTAGCATGTTCTAAGACGGTCCATCTCTCAAAAGGGGCAACGCGGCAGAGCCCAACTGGACATCCGTGATGATGCATCCTTGGGACAGCACTCTGGTGACATTCTGCACGTTTCAAACACGGGTGTGCTACTTCCCCGCACGCGGATCGTCCGGCCGACCGTCGCAGCGCCCGGTGCATGGCTTTCCTGCGTACAGCTCGTCCAGCCGGCCGTCGCAGCGCCCGGTACCTGGCTTTCCTGTGCGCAGCTCGTCCAGCCGGTCGTCGCAGCACCCGGTGCCTGGCTTTCCCTTGCGCAGCCCGTCCAGCCGGCCGTCGCAGCGCCCGTTGCCTGACTTTCCTGTGTGCAGCTCGTCCAGCCGGCCGTCGCAGCGCCCGGTGCCTGGCTTTCCTTGCGCAGCCCGTCCAGCCGACCGTCGCAGCGCCCGGTGCCTGACTTTCCTGTGTGCAGCTCGTCCAGCCGGCCGTTGCAGCGCCCGGTACGTGGCTTTCCTGTGTGCAGCTCCTCCAGGCGACCGTCGTAGCGCTGCCATCGGTGCCGCCGGAAATCCATCACGTGACCGGAAACGGACGGCTTTGTTTCAGTCGGCTGTGTAAAAAGCGAGGTTCGTAAAAACCGGACGTGGGTGGAGATCGGCCCGTAATGGCTGGTGCCTCGCCCGCTCCCCATCCCATCCATGACCGGTGTCGTGGGCTAAGACCCTGCGATGCTTTCTAGTGCCCAATACCTGTATGATGGGATGTGTTGCGCGGTGTAGGTTTTAGGTGTAGCAGTTTGACTTTCAGTCTTTAGATGTCCTAAACAACTAAGGGGCAGAGTTTGCTTAGTTGATGCTAATTCGAAAACGTGTGCTTACTGTTGTTAAAACATCGTCACATGCACATGATGAGGCAGAGGGCACTCTCATAGCACCCACCGAGGGTACGTGCTCTCCCCTGTTACCAAATTGTTGGCATGCATTGACAGGTATGTTATTGAATGTAAACAGCAAAAAATTGTCACTACACACGTAAAGGTTAGAACATCGAGAACATGTGATGTTTTTTATGTTCTACGACGCGAAAAAATTGCACGCGCCTGCGACAGGCAAACCAAACTTGCAGTGAAAACATGTGACATGTGCCCCCCCCCCCCCAAGGTACAATCCTGCATGTCCCCAGTTTGTGGTTCTGAAGATGCCGTGATAATCGCCAGGCCACAAAGCAGCCATGAGCAAAAGTGGACTCTTCCGTAACCAGGACATCTAAAACCACTTCATTTATCTGGTATTTGGTCTTGAAACGAAATGCAACTACAAGAAAAGGATAAGCCCTATCAGATTGTTTTTCCAGCTGTGGGTTTTTCCGACACTGCTCTGGCCTGGCACTTTGAGAGGGGTTTATCCAGTTCCTATCCTGACCCACTACAGGGTCTGGATAGACTGGCTCGTTCCCCTACTTGGTTTCGGGGAATCTCCGCTGAGTCGACAAGCGTACTCTTTCCGTGAATCCCCGCCGAGTCGACGGGCGTGGCCCTCCCATGAATCTCCGCCGAGTTGACAGGCGTGCCCTCCCATGAATCTCCGCCGAGTCGACTGGCGTACTCGTCCCGTGAATCTCCGCCGAGTCGACTGGCGTGCTCGCCCCGTGAATCCCCGCCGAGTCGACAGGCGTGCCTCCCCATGAATCTCCGCCGAGTCGACAGGCGTGCCCTCCCATGAATCTCCGCCGAGTCGACAGGCGTGCCCTCCCATGAATCTCCGCCGAGTCGACAGGCGTGCCCTCCCATGAATCTCCGCCGAGTCGACAGGCGTGCCCTCCCCATGAATCTCCGCCGAGTCGACAGGCGTGCCCTCCCATGAATCTCCGCCGAGTCGACAAGTGTGCTCTTTCCATGAATCTCCGCCGAGTCGACAGGCGTGCCCTCCCATGAATCTCCGCCGAGTCGACAGGCGTGCCCTCCCATGAATCTCCGCCGAGTCGACAGGCGTGCCCTCCCCATGACTGGTGGTCCAGCCCGGCCGGGTGCTGGGCTGGCCGGGGTCCTGCCGTCGTGCCGGCTCGTGTCACGTCGGCCCACTGCTGCTGACCTGCACCACACTGAGGCCTGCAGGCGCGCCGGCCGCATCAACAGGAGTCCGCTGGTGACGTGGCCGGGCACGGAGCCGTGAGACGCCGCGGTCCGCGTCATCAGGGGCCCGCTGGTGACGCGACCGGACACGGAGCCGCCGGCCGGCGCCGTCAGCGTCATCAGGAGCCCACGTCCGCTGGCGTCGGGCGTCCCGCACGATGTCGGGACAGGGTGGTCACACTAGGCGCACTGCGTCGCCAACGGTCCGGCCCGTCCGGCTCCCAGCGCTGGAGCCGACGACGGCCCGGGTCGGCCGGCTCCCAGCGCTGGAGCCGACGACGGCCCGGGTCGGCCGGCTCCCAGAGCAGGAGCCGACGACGGCCCGGGTCGGCCGGCTCCCAGCGCTGGAGCCGACGACGGCCCGGGTCGGCCGGCTCCCAGCGCTGGAGCCGACGACGGCCCGGGTCGGCCGGCTCCCAACGCTGGAGCCGACGACGGCCCGCGTCGGCCGGCTCCCAGTGCTGGAGTCGACGACGGTCCGGCCCGTCCGGCTCCCAGCGCTGGAGCCGACGACGGCCCGGGTCGGCCGGCTCCCAGCGCTGGAGCCGACGACGGCCCGGGTCGGCCGGCTCCCAGCGCTGGAGCCGACGACGGTCCGGCCCGTCCGGCTCCCAGCGCTGGAGCCGACGACGGTCCGGCCCGTCCGGCTCCCAGCGCTGGAGCCGACGACGGCCCGGGTCGGCCGGCTCCCAACGCTGGAGCCGACGACGGCCCGCGTCGGCCGGCTCCCAGTGCTGGAGTCGACGACGGTCCGGCCCGTCCGGCTCCCAGCGCTGGAGCCGACGACGGCCCGGGTCGGCCGGCTCCCAGCGCTGGAGCCGACGACGGCCCGGGTCGGCCGGCTCCCAGCGCTGGAGCCGACGACGGTCCGGCCCGTCCGGCTCCCAGCGCTGGAGCCGACGACGGTCCGGCCCGTCCGGCTCCCAGCGCTGGAGCCGACGACGGCCCGGATCGGCCGGCTTCCAGTGCTGGAGCCGAGACACTCGAGGGGCGCGCTGGTTGAGCAGTAGTAGTGATTGGGTTTTAAGTGCAGGTCAACTGCAGCGGCAATTCGCGCCGTGCCCAGACGGCGCCAAAAATGGCCTGGCGCAAATAATGACTCAGTGAAGCGAAGTGAAGTGAGCCTCTGGCCAGCTACTTCAGTGTGAGCCGCGAGAGCGGTCGGCACGACTCTACCTGGTTGCTCTTGGTTCGCTGTAGCTGAAGTTTCGCTATATGTGATTCACCACAACTATTGCTACAGCTGACCTCTTCAGCACTCACGAACAACCGTCGACAGTCCGTTTCGGTTCGATCGTACAAGACATGGCGGCCAGTTTCGGCGCGGCCGTCTGCGCCGCCTCGATTGCCAGGCTGACTCCTCCATACCCGGCTCCTAAGACTCCCCATAACTGCCACGGCTACAGCGGCCTCTCGCCGGCGGCCTCGACTGCCAGGCTGACGCCTCCATACCCGGCTCCTTAGACTCCCCATAACTGCCACGGTGACAGCGGCCTCTCGCCGGCGGCCTTGACTGCCAGGCTGACGCCTCCATACCCGGCTCCTTAGACTCCCCATAACTGCCACGGTGACAGCGGCCTCTCGCCGGCGGCCTCGACTGCCAGGCTGACGTCTCCATACCCGGCTCCTTAGAATAACTGCCACGGCGACAGCGGCCTGCCGCCGGCGGCCGTGTTCCCAGGGCTACTGGTGCAATGACAGCACGACGTGCGGGGCGCCACAGCTTGATGCTGCGTCACGCCACCCCAGCCTCGCACGAACTCGGGAGGAAATTGGCGCCTTGTGGTTGATGTTGCCGTCCTCGTCAGTGGGGCTTTACTACGCACTCAGCTGCCGAGGCTATATGGCGTTACCTGCCTCTCATCCTGGCAGGAAGGGCGGGCACCGCGGGTATTCTGACCCCTTACCTCTGGCTTCCCAGACGCGCAGCGGTTCACGCACTAACGCGTATGGATGGACCACGATATAATCGGCATTTATTATGGTTTATATTAAATGTACACACTGGTGATAATAAGATGCACACAAACGCGTAGTTAATGCTCTGTCGCACAGCTTAACCGACCCCAGCGACCACACAAGTCGCACCGAATACTTTGCACACCCAGATACAGCACACCTCGTCAGCGGACGCAATATCACACTGCCACGCCGGGCGGCAGCGGCGGGCGGGATGGGCACCCGGCCGTCGAGCCGCCCCCGGCCTGGCCACAGTCATAGCACATCGTTATCACAGCCTTTGCGGCACGCTGGCGCCGCGTCGTACGGCGGTGTCGTAACGCCGCTGTCGTGTCGCGCCACGCTCTGATTAGTCCCGGCTCGGCCCGGCCTGGAGAACGTGACCCTGGCTGCAAGTTCATGGACGACCGACGGCTGCCCCCGCAGGGAGCGCGCTGGAGACGTCCGCGCCGAGAGCCGCCGGAGGTCGTCGACCCCCGGCGCGCCGACCGTTCCCACGGCACCGCCACCGGGGCGGGCTGCTCCAGAGGTGCACGCATCGTCCAGCGTCCAGGAATGAATGTACAAGATGGAGCAGACCTGCGGCGTGGAGCCGATCAGGCGCGATGCTCAACATGACGACCAGATGTGACGCGCGGAGCCTGCTGCGTCCATTACCTGACACATCAAGCGTTCCCGGAATCACTGAAGAGGGGCGCACGGCACTGCACAGCGGCTTCCGTCGCTGCTGCTTGCTCAGCAGCTCTCTCGGCACTGACCTGGCGCCAGCCGTTTGACCCACACCAGCTCGTCGGCGCTGCTCCGTGATCCGACCGGCCACGGCCTGTCAGTCCGGTTCTCAGGCTGCGAGCTTCAGCTCAGCGGCTCCGGTGCCAGCGGTCAGCGGTCAGCGGTCAGCTGCGCTGACGGCGGCGCCTTCCCCGCCGCCGCGAGGCTGGTGGAACTGCACCTCCACCATGTCGCGCAGCTCCTGAGCGGCCTCGGCGCTCATCCGCGTGTCGCTGGCGGCCGCCGGGCTCGCGGTGGGGACCGGCGGCTGCTCGCTGGAGGTGACATCCTGCAGGACGAAGTGCGTGTGCTCCTCGCCGCCACCGCCATGCCGCCGGTCGTGCAGCAAGCGGATGTTGCTTCGCCCCTTCTGCCGGTCGTGACCGTGGTCGTGGTGGTGCTCGCGCTGCCGGCCGCCGGCCGTCTCGGCGCTGCCGCGCTCCTCCGTGTTCTGCGAGGCGATCAGGTCGAGCGTGTCGATCAAGCTGACGGTCTTGTTTAGCGCGCGCGGGTCGAGGCCGTCCAGCTGGCCGGCCAGGTCCGCCACCGTGCGCATGAACTGGTCGTGGTCGTGGTGGTGCGGCGCGTCCGCCACCGACGGCGGCCCGTCCTCGCCCCCAGCGCCGGTCACGCTGGCGCTGCCGTCCACGTCGTGAGACTCGAGGTGGCCCTCCTCGCTGGTGGTCGCGGGGTGCGTCCCTTGACCCTCCGCTCCGTGGTCGTGGACGTGCCCTTCGTGTTCATGTGAAGGGCCACCGTCCCCAGCAAGTCTTGTGTTCAGTCCATGCGACTCCTGATCGACATGCGGATCATGTTCACCATGCGATTCATGTTCACCATGCGAATCGTGTTCGCCATGCGACTCATGTTCACCATGCGAATCGTGTTCACCACGTGGGCCATGTTCACCTTGCGAGTGGTGTTCACCATGCGAATCATGTTCGCCATGCGAATCGTGTTCACCATGTGGGTTATGTTCACCATGCGAGTCGTGCTCGCCTCCCATTTCCTGCACCACGCTCCTCATGCTGTTCATAATGACGTTGTGGTCCACACCAGGCCCCTCCTGCCTGCTGAAGGACTTGATGTATCTGACGGTGTCGAGCACGTGGCCCGACTCGTTCGGCACGCGAGCCAGGTAGTCGGAGCTGACCGGCCGGCTGGGTTCGTGGCCGTGGTCATCGTGGTGCTCCACCTGCGTCAGGAGGTCGTTGCTCAGCGGGTGGCCGGCGCCGTGGCCGTGTCCTCCGTGAGCTTGGCTCGCGCCGGGCCCGTGCGAGTGTCCGCCCACGCTGTGCACGAGCACGATCAGCACGAACCCGGCCACCACGGCTAGCAGCTTGAGAAGCCCGTTGGAATGCTTCTGCCGCTCCGGCCCGAGGATCTCGAAGAAAACGACGTAGAGGATCGTGCCGGCCGCCAGGCTCTGCAGGATGCCGGTGTACAGGAGGCGCGAGCTCTCGTCCTGGTCCAGGTTTTCCACGCAGAGGCCGAGCGTCACGCCGAGCGGGGAGGCCAGCGCCAGCAGCAGCAGGCTGGTGAGGACGAAGCCGACCGAGCGCCGCGTGGCCAGCAGCTGCTCGCCGAGGCAGAACGACACGATGGCCTTGTGCGTGGCGATGGCGGCGAACAGGATCCACACGTCTCGGCTGGCCGTCTCGAACGCCACGGCGAAGCCCTCGAACACCGAGTGCACGGACAGCGCTACGATCACCACATACGCGCGGAACGCGTGCAGAGTCGCGATTGTCGTTCCGTGGTCGTGTCCGGCCGTGCCGTGGTCGTGTCCGGACGTACCGTGGTCGTGTCCGGACGTGCCGTGGTCGTGCCCGGATGTGCCGTGTCCGTGTCCGGCTGTGCCGTCGCCGTGCCCGGCGGCGGTCGGGACCGCCGCCGCCGAGCCCTCCGCTGGCCGCGCCGCTGCCGGCGCCGTCGAGCGGTACAGCTTGTCATTCCATGACATGGCCTCCCGGGCGCCATGCACATGCACGACCACGGCGTCGGCCGGCGCGTCGGCGGCCGGTGGCGCGGCCAGCGCTAGGACGCTGCCGGCCTTGCGGACCGTGCCGCGGCCGGCCAGGAAGGCGTGCACCAGCTCCTCAACCAGGTAGACGAGGAAGAAGCCGACGCAGAGGAAGATCTCGCCGGCCGGCGCCTCCATGCCGGGCAGAAGGCCGGCGCCCGCGATCTGCGCGAAAACCTCGCGAATCTCGGGCATCATGTGCGTGAAGACGGTGCCGAGCAGCACACCGCCGCCCAGACAGAGCACGCATGAGACCAGCAGGTCGAGCCGAGCCGAGAAACGCAGCAGCGTCTTGCCCGGCGCGTGGTGGCGACTCCAGGCGCGCGCCAACCGCGAGCCCACCAGCGGCAGCAAACCGCAGGTCAGCGAGATGACAGCAAATAACACCAGGCAGACGACCTTGGTCAGCAGCACGCTGTCCGCCATCGCCGCCGCGGAGGCTCGACGCCGGCACGCTGCAGTACAGACCCGCTGGGCTGGCGGCCACCTTCTGGCCGTTGTGCCGCGCCACGCCGCCACGCTGCCTTCGCCGCACCGCGTGCCCGGCTCCGCCAATCACAGGGCGCCCCGGGACGGCCGGTGACGTCACGGCCGTGACAGGCGGACCGGCGGCGAGGTATGACGCGAGGCGCGCTGCCGTGGCTCCTGCGCCTCCCGCAACGGCTCGGATTCTGGTCAGAGTAAGCCTGGCAAACCCTCTTCTCAGCGTTTGGTTTAATTAAGGTTGCCGTACCGCGTTGCGCCCTATGTGAGTAGTGAAGGGGTTCTGGGCGCTGAGGTGGCCACCTTGCGGGCAGTCTTGGCGTCCACCAGCAGTGAACTTTGGCCTGGATTTGCCAATCTGTGGGTACCCCGCGTCGACTCCGCACGCGAGTAACCGCCTTATCAGGCGCCATACTTGTGCGGCAGTGTTTGGGAGCTATTCGAGTGGTACGGACATTCTATGATTCACAGAGACGCACTTAAATCTCCCCGAATATCGTGTTTTCCGGCGCTGCAGGCAAATCGGTGGAAAGAATCTCGACGAAGAGCTGTCATCCGGATCCGAGGAAATATGTGTGCTGACATGGTATCCAATAATCAACATTCAGGCTGGCATCCATCAGCTAACAGCCAAGTTCTTAGTCACACGTGAAGTAGCCCTAGATGGAAGTCGATTCGACTAGAAGAGAGCCACGATCATCGGATGCATCAATCGGCCTCCGTTCAGTTTTGCGTCGCAAGGCATCAGCAACTATGGCCATACAGGAAGCGTCATTGTATTCTTCTCAGAACATTGTTGTTTGAACATTGTATTGTATTGTTGTATTGAACATTGTTGAACATTGTATTGTTCCCAGAGTACCGTCCTGGCAGGTGACCCGAACGGTGACAAATAAGTCCGTCTGCCCACAGGCGACCTCAGGAGCCCGAGCGGTATGGCCTACATCATTTCGTTCGACAACGCACCCATAGAGAATGTTTCTCTATTGACCTTTTTGACCTAAGACCCATGCCAGCGTTATGCGTTGCCACCAGCAGTCCCACTATGGCCTCCACATAACAACAACCGCTTTATTTCATTCCAACGATGTGGATGCTGTGGCCAGTGAAAAAGCATGATTACATCATGCCTTGCTTAATATTAAACAAAACTCTGTGTGCGGTAGCCTCTAATCAATGCGTGTCGTCCTGAAACTTTCCTGATTACCAACAGATCAAGTCAAGCCATCAGTTCCCAAATAGCCGCGCGGGTGCATGTGATGACGTCACCACCAGCAGACTGACGTCGCCATGCATCCAAGTGTTGCGCCCGCTGGTGAACGGCAGACGGTTCATCCGCGCAGTAAGTCTCCACTCTTTGTCTGCCCCTGTTGAAACCCGGAATTAATCGTAAAAAACAGTCCAAGGCCATTGGATCCGTGGTTCTTACTTAAAGTGTGAACCGTCTTGCTTGAAACACGCGACCTGGACATTGACCCGGACTTTTTCCCGTACATTTGCTCGTTGCTAGCCCAGTCTCTAACATACCGTTGTGGTTTGTGCCGACAAAATTTATAGCACGGCCTAGCAGGAGTATCAGAAATTGTGATCTGAGTGTTGCAGACAGCGGCACTGGGGGCTTGCATCAGAGAAAAACATCTAGCGGCGAAGAACATGACATCATGGGCCCGGCCACGACAGACACAAGCAGCGGCATCGGACAATGAGGTTTGAAAGTGACCGGTTGAGGCACCATTGGCTTCTCGAGACGGAACAGATGTGGCGTCATGGGAGGCAGCATTCCAGCTGAGATGACGTCATAGGCCTAGATTATCTGGGGCAGTAGCACTCTGGCGGGTGGACGGGATATTGGCGCTCAGATGGAGGCCTCGGCGCCTAAAGGTATCCGGTTTGATTTCTACCGCCATGCAAAGTTCGTTGACACGCGTAGATACCAGTCACGGGATCAGAATCCTGGATATCGGGGTTGAAATCGATGCCGATTCCTCGACTTACATTCCTGAAATCCTAGGATCCGATTTTCAAGAAAATATACACGCCGCGTTTCATCAAATGATACAGAATCTCTCAGCTTATCAAGGTTTGTGGCATATCATGTTTGTATCTTATGCTTGGTTCAATATCATCAAATACGGAACATTCCCTGTAAGTTTCGGGTGCCAGAAGTGGTCGGGGATCTCAGAGATGTTGCGCCAAAGGCTGATGAGAGGACACTGGTTGTTTTGCATCAGACGGGCTCGGAATTTACACTGGTCCACACGCACCCACTCTCGGATCATTACGCGTACATCCTGCGCACTTGTCCCTGGAAGACGCTGGCGGGAGAGCTGCATTCCGGTCATACGGGATGCACGTGGGTCGGCGCGTGGAGCGACCACGTGGGGACCGTTATGTCGCGTAATGGCCGCGGTCACGCATCTCGCGACGAGCGACGCGCGTCCGCGCGGCTTATCGCCTTTGTCGTTGGCAGTTGTTTGGTAGATGTTTTCCCCGGTTCGTCAGCTGAGCAAGGGTCGGTCGCCTCGCGGCGACTGGGGGGACTGGCGTATCTCGCCAGTTATCGGACCCCCATACCGATAAGGCCGATAAGGAATACTTTTGCGTTAGTGCGGACCCTTGCGCCGATCCGAGTCCGACTGACTGTCCCGGCCAGAGAGCCTGCCGTGTCAGGGAGAGCACCGATGCATAATGTATTCTTCTGAGGGCCTCCGGATCGACCTGGGAGAGCCGATGCATCGTGTATTCCTCTAAGGGCTTCCGGGTCGACCTGGAGCCCTTTCCACGTGCCGTTAAAAGGATAGCCGATAGCCGGTAGGTACCCCGGGTTGGGACGAAAGAGCGCTTCAATTCCAAGCCGGGAAATGTGGTGCAACCCCTGTTGTTCAGCGCATGTTGCTCTCCGTCCGGGGAAGGGACTTCGGTTTCCCCTGGTAAAAGGAATTTCCTTAGTATCCAATAAGGTGGGTCGACAAGCGTTCAACAACTCTTTCGATATGACCAGCACATGTTTTACTAGGGACCTCAACACTTTTTCGTACTCAGCTCGTGAAAAGGCTATGTAAAAAAAGTTTTGAGCATTTACTCCTGAATAGCGTTGCAACGGGCCGCGTGCTGTGCAATATTATTTTTGCATTTTTTCAATTTTTGATCAATCTCTTTTTTAGGTGCTTTCAGGCCTTCCGAGGGGATTGGAAGTGATCCTGGAGAGCTATAATGCTCCCTTTTACCACAAACCGCCTTTACAAATTTTGCATCCTTTTGCTACAATTGCCAAAATGCTTGTTCAGAAGCTCTCCTACCTCTCCATAACACTAAAAGTGTTTAGGGTGCTACCTTCCTTCGTTTTTCCTGCCTATCTCATTCAATGCCAGTGGTGTCCTCCTATGTTCATACAATCTGGCCGTCTCGCAAAAAATCTGCACTTAGCACTGTGCTGTGCCCCGTGCTTCTTTCACAGCTACATACCAGAGTGAGGCTAGCCAATGCCTTGTGAAACACATGCGTACTTCACCGCTCAGGGTGGAGTCTGAGGCTGAGATTAGGAACATAATGATATCGAGAGAAGCCGGTAGAATGGTTATTCTCCTGCTATATCCGCCTGACAGGACATGGGTTCCGATACGCCCTGCCAGGCATCTCGCCTAGTCCGCAGAGTAGGCCTTCGGCTTCAACTTTAATCCATAGGCCCTCAATGTATCTGCAGAGCCCCCCAAAATACAGGCAACGCTCCTGGCTGTTGTCGGCTTCAAAATTGTCCAACAGCCTGAGCGTCTAAGCGACATGAAGTGTGACTGTCCGGTCCAACAAAACACAATTCCTCTGTTTGGGTATTCTTCCGACAGGTAAGGCAGCAATCTCTTCCGTTTATGGTACTGGCGGCACATGGCCTCGGTCACATTTAACGCACTGGGATATATCACAGGTCAGGGTACCCCTTTCGGAGAGAAAGCCGCCCTCACGAAAAAGTCCTGTGGAAACTTGCCAGTAGGCCACATCGTCTTATCGGGGACGTTTCCACCAGGCCAAGTACAAAAAATATCTGTTGGCGGGCATGTCCCTTCTAGGAGGCACAAGTAAAGCGCACATCGTTGCACATCATTGTTTTGCTCTCAATATCACGCATTTAATGCAAGGGATTGCGTTCGCTAGAAATGTGAAGTGGAGAAAGTCGGTCACGAACAAGTGCGATGCGAAGGAGTCGGAGAAAACAAATCGCGCACGCGAAGAAGCGTGTTCTGAGAATAACTGAGCATGCGAAGAAATGCGATTCAAAGAATGTCATGTTCGAATAAATGCGATATAAGGAATAGTGCGAACAATTGCAATACAAAGACAAATGAGTGCACAACGAAACGCAATATGACGAATTGTGTATACGAAGTGTGCTGACACGAAGACCTGCAGATACGTATATATCTAGATAAAAATATCTGGACAATAATATTTGCGTGCGAAAACGAGGCTTTGCGTACCAAGAAATGCATAATGAAGAAATGCGTTATGAAGTCTTGCCTAGTCACGAGCTTAGCAATCTCCATTGCTGGTGGTCTCAGAGCAAATTTCGTCATATACAATTATTCGGCATGTTTAGCACATGCTGCAGTTACGATCAGCATTGTGCTCTTTGCTGCACAGTGTTTCTCAATTCCGATAGAAATTTGTCGAGTACATAGCAGTCGACTCGAGACACTCGAAACGCTCGATACGTTCCCCAAATTTATGGGTAGCAGATGATTGGAGAAAGCCGACACATTCAAGTGTGTAGTTAGGAATCGATTTTAGGCTTTCGGCACATTCCGCACTGTCGACAGAACTTGTACGGTCAGCAGCCGATTCGGGACATTCGACATATTCCACACATCAACTGCACGCCTGATATAGTTGGCAACCGATTCGAGACATTCAGCCAATTCGCTACGTTCATAAATTTGTGCATCCCTTGT